ATTTAGTGTAGGGTAACTGCTAAAACAGGAAATAAGTGAAAAAGAAATCATCAGAAGGATAAAATCTTCTATGAAAATAAGATAATTCATGCTGGAGAAGCTACTTTACGAAAAATCATCAGAAATTCTTTATTAACAGATCAAGTAAATGCTGATGGTGCATCAGTTATCTTCCTTTAAAAGGACAGTTATCTTCCTTTAAAAGGAAAGTATTGCCATCAAAACTTTAAAAGTAATAAGGGGCGTCTGGGTGGCTCAGTCGGTGAAGCATCCACCTTCAGCTCAGGTCATGATCTCAGGGTCCTGGGATCAAGTCCTGCATTGGGCTCCTTGCCCAGCAGGGAGCCTGCTTCTCCCTCTGCCTCCGTTCCTCCCCCAACTTGTGCTCTCTCTCTTTAATAAATAAAATCCTTATAAAAAAAAATAGCCACTGCAGATGCCTTCCTGCAGCTGGAAGCAATCCCCCCAAAACCGTGGGATGGTATTATAGCACCTTTCTTGCCATCCCCACCTCCTAGCCTGCAGCCCTGTTTTGGGGGACTGTGCCCATCAGCTTGTTTTTTTTTTTTTTTTTTCCAAGATTTTATTTATTTATTTGAGAGAGAGAGAACACATGAGAGGGGATAGGGTCAGAGGACGAAGCAGACTCCCTGCCGAGCAGGGAGCCCGATGCAGGACTCGATCCAGGGACTCCAGGATCATGACTGAGCCGAAGGCAGTCGCTTAACCGACTGAGCCACCCAGGCGCCCCCATCAGCTTGTTTTTACCCACTCGTGATGTCTTTCTCCCTAAGACTGCCAGTGTCCACACTAAGCAAGTTCTTCAGGTGTGGAAACGCCTGGTGATCTCACCACCCCCAGTGAGGACTTTTACCTGTGCAGCATCTTAGTTCAGGGAATCTTTTTTGGCCCTCCAGCTCTCTATAAACTTTCACAAATACACCCTTTAAGCGAGTATTTCCTACTGCCATCCCACCTCTACTCACCACGTCATACCGGGAAGCAGAAGCCCCAGTATTTTGCTTGCACAAAATTCTACCTTATTTCTACTAAGCCCAGAAAGGCTCCACTTTTCTCCTGGGACTTCATTCTCACTCCCTGATGATTTTCAGTTGCCCCCATAGAAACACCAGTGTGCATGAGGCAGTCCTCTTCCTCTGGTACCCCAGAAACTCCTGTTTAAACATCTACATAACAATGTCGTCAAAGATTTGTATATTTTAACCAGGTTTTGCTACTGCTTTTTATGGGTTGGACCAATAAAATCTACTTACCGATGGCAGAAACTGACATTCTTTTACTTCATATATTTTCAAGCAAAGAATGCTTTAATATTTTTATGTACAAAACACACCCACATTTTAAGAGCAATAGGACTGTTCTGAGGACAAATCCTCCTAATTGACCATCTGGATTCATACTGAATCCTTAATGCATTCTTATAGGACCCTGGTTACATTTTCTGCATTTTTTTTTTAAAGATTTTATTGATTTATTTGACAGAGAGAGGGAACACAAGCAGGGGGAGAAGCAGAGGGAGAGGGTGAAGGCTTCCCACTGAGCAGGGAGCCCAAGGCGGGATTCGATCCCAGGACCCAGAGATCATGACCTGAGCCAAAGGCAGATGTTAACCGACTGAGCCACCCAGGCGCCCCTTTCTGCATTTTTCCCATTAATCTTTTTGCTGGTATGTTTGTAGCAAACACCTCGGATGCAGACCCTTGGGCTCCACCAGTGTCTTACACTCTCTGCCAGGACTGAGGCAGCACGGATCTGTGCCTGGGCCTTGAGCCTCTCCCCGCCAAGCCCTGGGTTTCCGTGTCGACGTCCGAGTGTGATACGCCTCATGATCAAGACACATGCACAGCCAGATTCCCTGCATATAAGGATGGCCAGAGAGTACATGGCCCTCGGATCTGCACCGTCGTTTCCCTGGTTTTTCCGACTGAGGGTGTTGGCTACTACTCGTCTGTTGAGTGTGGTCAGGGTGGGGGTGCAATAACTTTCTCTGCACTTTTTTTTGTTTAGGTAGGACAACAAAACAAAGTAGAACACAGACACGTGTTCTCAGATCTCCTCCGTGCACATCCACGTGTCAGGGCTTGTGGGATCAGGGTGTGTGATGTCTTAGAGGGCACACGAGGTAGAAAGTGCCAGCTCAGCAGTGCAGTAAAGACCCACAGAGCACGCCCACTGGGGAGCCTGGGAGAAGTGAAACCAGAATTGTGGGGTCAGGCCTGTGGGACTTGCAGGGGCTCTGGAGAAGGGAAGACTAGGGGCGGAGTTATTGAAATGTGTAGTGGAAATCCTGTAAGTTTGGGGCTACGATCTGCAAAGTTTGTGATTTGGGGGTCTTGCAGGGTCCGTGATCACGGGGACAGCATTTTGAATGCCTCCAAGGAGTCAGCAACAGGTGCCCTGTGGGTCAGTCACCCAACCTGTGAGGGACAAACACAGACATCCTTGTGTGGTCTGATATGGGGGACACGTCACCTTGGTGGGCCCCCCCCCCGGGAGAGTGCCTTGCCCTCTGCGGTCACCGCGCCAGGCTGAGGCCCCGTGGCGCCACCGTTCCCCATTCACTGCCCGCAGAGCACACCCAGCAAAACCCCTGCACCAATCACATCCAACAAGTAGGGGGCCTGGGCGGCCTACTCCTGGTTTGGGCTCGGGTCACGGTCTCAGGGTTGTGGGCTCGAGCCCTGCGTCAGGCTCCACGCTCTGCGTGTGCCGCTCCCTGCCCCACCCCTGCTCACGCGCTCTCTCTAAATAATTTACAAGACCCATCTTCACTGCCAGCCGGAGAGACCTGACCAACTCCTCACTGAGGACACGAGTGTTAGCAAATCGCCATTTAGAAAGTGCACGAGAGGGGGCGCCCGGGTGGCTCAGTCAGTGAAGCGTCTGCCTTCAACTCAGGTCATGATCTCAGGGTCCTGGGATCGAGCCCCGCGTCCGGCTCCCTGCTTAGCGGGGAGTCTCCTTCTCCCTCTGCCTGCAGCTCCCCCTGCTCGTGCTCTCTCTCAAATAAATAAAATCCTTAAAAAAAAAAAAAAAAAAAGCGCATGAGAAAACTTTCACTTCCACCATAGGTCGTACAGAAGGACTGTTTTCCGATACAATCGGCCACAACAGGACCGTCTGCTCCCCCCACCCCCATACCCTTACTGCCACTTGAAACGGTCGGCTCGCTCTACATCTGACATGCGGGCAGGAGTTACGCTCGGCAATAACGCTACAACAGGAGAACAGAAAAACTGGGAAAGAAGACAGTACATGAAGTGACTGTGTATGCAGAAAATCCAACTAAACAAAAAAAAGTGCAGAGAAAGTTATTAAACTTACCAAGTTCAGAGAATTCAAGGTCATATAAGTCAATTATACTTATCTGTGAGCGATGAATAAATGTAAGTTAAAACATGAGATTTACAAAGGCATAAAAATACAAAACCTGGGGACGACTGTGATGGAAGTCGCGTGAGCTCCTACAGTGACGGGCCACGTTGTTCTCTCCCAGGTGCAAGGACCTACAACCCAGCTCAGAAACGGGAGATCCTGGGTCTCGTTGCCGTAGGTTTGACTTTCCTGTAGTGGACCCCAATGTACTTGCTGGCCGCTTCGCGTACCAACCAGCAGCCTCTGCCCTTCGTCTGAGGGCTTCATCTGCCCCCTGCTCACGCCGCCCCATGCCCCACTCCCCTCCACCCCAAGGAGGTCCATCTGGTTACTTTGCCCTCTTTTCTTAGAATGCTGTTTGCGGTCTCCTGGGAATGCGTTTTGCCTGGTTGATTCCTTCCTTCGCCTGCCTTGGCTCCCCTCCTCTGGCCCTCATGTCCTCTGAACTGGTTTTGCTGGGAGCCAACCCCGTCCCCCCCAACAGGAGCATCTGCTCTCTCCAGCGCTGGAGCCTCCCATCTCCCCTCCGCCTCCCCACCCGCCCTGCCCTTGCCCAGGTCGCTGCCCCGCTTCACCCCACAGTCGCTCTGCAGCTCCTGTCCAGGGGTCCTCTCCCTCCATGCCCTTGACCCCATCTGGGGTGGGGTATCCAAGCCAAGAACCCCTAGAAGGGATGAGGGGTAATTCTTCCTCCTCAAAGGTTTGGTGCTGTTTGGGACCTTCTGAGGCAGTCACAGAGGGACACATTCTTCTGGGGCTGCAAACGGGGTCCTGAACCTGGTCACTTCCTACTGAAATCGGCCCTCCTGGGCCTCGCTCTGTAGTACCTGGTGGCAAACATCTGCCAACCTGAAAACAAGAGCTGCCACAAGAGACCGACGAGAAAGTTTATTTGGGGTTGAAGAATTGCGCTTTGGGGAGCACAGATTCCAGCAATAACCACAAGTGTCCCGTGTACGGGGTGAAAGCAAGGGGGTTTTATGAGAAACAGATGGGCAACTACATGGCTGGGGTAAAAGAGAAGACGGTTGTCCTCTGGTACTGACACATGGTCAATCCTGGAGCGTTCTCGCGTGCACTTGAGGAGGCACTGTGCCCTTTGTGGATGGAGTGCTCGGGATCCATCTCATCTAATGTGTCATTGAAGGCTCATGTTTTCTTATGGATTTTGTCTGAATGGTTTAGCCATCGATGAAAATGTGTCTTCAAGCTCCCCTCCTATGGTATTACTGTTTCTCCCTTTACATGTGTTTATGTTCTATATACGTAGTTGTTCATTTTTTAAAAGATTTTGAGAGTCAGAGAGAGAGAGAGAGATCATGAGCAGGGGGAGAGGGGCAGAGGGAGAGGGAGAAGCAGACTCCCCACTGAGCAGGGAGCCGGATGCGGGGCTCCATCCCAGGACCCCGAGACCATGACCTGAGCCAAAGGCAGACGCTTAACCGACTGAGCCACCCAGGCATCCCTATATGTAGGTGTTCCTATGTTGGATGCACAAATATTTACAGAGGTTCTATCCTGCTGTTGAACTGACCCCCCTTATTGTCAGGTAATACCCTTCATTGTCTCAATAATGCCATTCTAAAATGAAAATTTATGCAGAATTCGGTCACAAACTATGTATTAATCTTTAATTCATCATTATAATCTACATACATGGTTAACAATATGTAGTAATGACACATCATCTTGTGTTGTTTTTCAGTTAATATTCAACATTACTTTCTAGTTGAACCCAATCATAATTATTGCTGTATGAAAAATAGGACCTAACCAATATAATGGATTTTTTAGCAACAATTTTGCTTCATATGCAGTTCTACATACTAATCCATTAAGGAAGAAAATAATTGTCATAAAATTCTGCATTCAGAATTCCCAGATGATGTCACAATCCTACATATGTTTCTTACATTTTTATAATAGGCCATCAGGCAAAAATATAAATTAATGTCTAAACTGTGTGGTTAGACATTCTCAATAGATGTTTTTCCTAGTCAGGGATTTCTAATGCAAACTCTAACCTTTCATCTGATTTTAGCAATGGCATATATACAATGTGAGAAACTGCATGTTGACTAAGGAATTAAAAATCACTGAAGACTTCCATTCATTCACTATTCTACAGAGTGTGAAACTTCACATGCCTACAATAGTTTTTCTACTAGTAAATGTTTTTTCCATGCATATTACAATGAATAAGCTCCCCAGCATCAATTTTTGTTACTCTCCTAGAGTGACCTCCTTTTTTAAGATTCTCCTGTGTAATTTCCCTTCCAGGGAGATTAGATTATCATTCATACTGAATTTTCTTGTGCACCCTACAACCGGAGATTAGCTAATGTCTCTTCCTCCTCGATGATAAATATAGGGTTCCTCCAAATGGAGTTCACTCATGTTGTGTAAGGATAAATTTAAAATGAAGGCATTTCCATAATGAATATGGCCATAAATTTCCCCCACTTATGAATTCTCAGATTATAGATTAGAGCTGTGGCTGAAGGCTCTTCCATGTTCTTTCACTACATTTAAAGTGAGTTCTCTCATGTCTTCAAAGGCAAGAGCTCGTAACAAAGGCTTTTCCACATAGAGGACATTTATATGGGTTCTCTCCAGTATGAGTTCTCTCAAGTTCTTTAAGATTAGAGCTTTCAACAAAGGCTTTTCCACATAGAGGACATTTATATGGGTTCTCTCCAGTATGAGTTCTCTCATGTTCTCTAAGATTAGAGCTTGTAACAAAGGCTTTTCCACATAGAGGACATTTATATGGTTTCTCTCCAGTGTGGGTTCTCTCGTGTTTTCTAAGACAAGAGCTTGTAACAAAGCCTTTTCCACATAAAGGACATTTATATGGTTTCTCTCCAGTGTGGGTTCTCTCATGTTCTCGAAGACAAGAGCTCGTAACAAAGGCTTTTCCACACAGATGACATTTATATGGTTTCTCTCCAGTATGAGTTCTCTCGTGTTCTCGAAGATTAGAGCTTGTAACAAAGGCTTTTTCACATAGAGGACATTTATATGGTTTCTCTCCAGTGTGGGTTCTCTCGTGTTCTCTAAGATTAGAGCTTGTAACAAAGGCTTTTCCACATAGAAGACATTTATATGGTTTCTCTCCAGTGTGAGTTCTCTCATGTTTTTTAAGACAAGAGCTTGTAATAAAGGCTTTTCCACATAGATGACATTTGTATGGTTTCTCTCCAGTGTGTGTTCGCTCATGTTGTCTAAAACAAGAGCTTTGAACAAAGGCTTTTCCACATAGATGACATTTATATGGTTTCTCTCCAGTGTGAGTTCTCTCATGTTCTCTAAGATTAGAGCTTGTAACAAAGGCTTTTCCACATAGAAGACATTTATATGGTTTCTCTCCAGTGTGTGTTCTCTCATGTTGTTTAAGGTAAGAACTTTGAACAAAGGCTTTCCCACACAGATGACATTCATAAGGCTTCTGTCCAGAATGAATATGCTTATGTCTAGTTAAAGATGAAAAATACCTGAAGTGACTCCCACACTGATTACAAACAAACGGATTCTCTCCTGTGTGAGTTATTTTATGGGAACGAAGGTGGGAATTTCGACTGAAGTTTTTTCCACATTCATCACATTTATAGGGTTTCTCTCCCGTGTGAATTCTCTGGTGTATGCAAAGCTTCCTTCTATTATGGAAGCATTTCTCACATTGATTACATTTATAAGGTTTTGCTTCCATGTAAGTTTTCTGGTGTCTATAAAGGTCGCTTCTATGACTGAAATGTTTCCCACATTCGCTCCATTTATAGGGTCTCTGTCCAGTGTGAGTTAAGACATGTTGAGTCAATGTGTAGGTCTGAGTGAAAACTTCATCATACCCAATATGTTCAAAGGGGTCTTCTCCTGAGTGATATTTCTGCTGTTGGGAAAGAAATGAGATTGTTACAGGAACTTCTCAGAAACATTTATCCATTCAGTTCTCTATATATAAATTCTAGGCTGACCACTCAGTGATAATCTCCAATTAAAACCTTCCCCAGGTTACTTATGTGCACATGGGGTATTCATCTCCTGCACGCACAAACATTTTTACCTTTGCATATTATATGGATGGAGGTTTCTGTGATTTGTCCCGCAGAACCTTCCACCCCGACCTGCACGAACGCAGGCAGGCTAAACAACGATGTGTGCGAGACTCCTGCTCCATGAGTGACCTCGGGAGCCTGGTTAGTGGACATTAGCTGGCTTCCAGGTCAGAACGGGCCCTTCTGGTCCAGATGCCAAGAGCTGTAAGAGTTGATGTACCTTTCTTGTTCTCCCTTACTGCTTACTCCTGCCCTCATCTATGCACAGACTTCCCTTTCCTTCTTTCGGTTTCTGTTAGATTTTTATATCAATCGAGTGTTTTTTCCCCTTTGAAACAGAGAGTATGGCTGCCGTCAATCTTTTATGTAGAACGTAACTGGTGTAGTTGGCCGGATTCACGACATGCCTTTTCTGTTTCGAAGAGGAAACCCCCACCCTGATGCTGATATTCCTGAGTGGGAAGATCCGCAGTTTTGCTCACTGGCAAAACAACGGTCTAGGCAGGTCAGTCTGTGTGAACAATGGGAAGGTAAAATAAAGTCAGCCAAGCCACCACTGCTCACAGACGCTCTGCGGACTCTTAACTGGGATAGATGATTGTGTCATTCCTAGCTCGTTGGGGATGGTGTTTGTTAATAGCCTATAGACAAATGACCACATCGTGGTAAGTGCCAGGAGGAAAAACTAAAATTAGAAAAGGAAGTAGCGGATTTACAATCTAGAATGGCTATGCTTCAATGTCAGACTTACCAAGTCCACACCTATCAGTATGGGGCAGAAAAAATGGCCATACGGTTGGCCAGGTAGAAATAAAAGAGAGGGAAGATGGACACTAAGAAAGTGCACGTAGCTATGGGTTCTGCTGGGCGTGAGTGGGATGGCGACATCTGGGATGATGACGACGGGGGTACAGAAAACATCTCTCAGACGGAGCCACCTAGGGCAGCAGAAGCATCACCCCGCCAGAGAAGAGATGTGACAAGTCCAAGATACTGTGCTACATGAAGTTTTTAAAAAAGGTGGATTCTGAATACACTGCTACATCTATGGCAGTTTCAAAGACCTCTTACCCTAAGACAGACGGAAATAATGGAAGCAACTCTGTACGTATGGAAGTAGGAGATATGTAAAAAAGATATAAGGAACGGGAATGTATTTTTTTGAAGGTAAAAGAAGGTAATTTTGTCCTGGATGAGACTGGTTGTTTGGAGAGAAATGGCTTAGGATAAAATCTGAACGCAAAGTAAAGTTGTAGGTTTGTGAAGGGAGATCTTTGGAATTTTAAGTATGATAAGGACAGACTAAGTAAGATTGAAATGAATGGATTTTAAAAGTACATGGTATAAGATTAAAATTCTGCTTTTCTCTCTGTTCAAAAGACAAGTTTCTCAAATTATTGGTCTGCACTTGCTAAGATGATGTAAACGGTTGTTTTCTTTTTGTCTGCTCAGAAAAACCAGTTTCTAGGCTTTGTCTTTATCAGGTCTTTAAGAATCTGTAGTTCAATTTAGGCATGTGTTTTAAAACTTTCTAGGGTTTTAACAAACTTCCCAAGATTTCAGTTGCAAATGACATCTTTTTGACCGAGGCCTTTTTATTCGGTGTGTTAAGTTACTTGGAAAGCACTGTCAAACAAATGATGGATATGTTGTTTGGGTAAATGCTATAATTATTCTAGAGATTATATGCAATTCCTAAAGTTTTTGGGTTTTTTTTAAGATTTTATTTATTTTTTGACAGAGAGCGAGAGAGGGAACACAAGCAGGGGGAAAGGATGAAGCAGGCTTCCCGCCAAGCAGGGAGCCCAATCCCAGGACCCTGGGATCATGACCTGAGCCGAAGGAAGATGATTAACAACTGAGCCACCCAGGCGCCCCTGCAATTCCTAAAGTTTTAATAAAGGTCAAATAAGCCCATGCTATCTTGGTTGCAATTTGTTATCAAAAAGATGACTTAAAAAAAAGAAGATAGCAGGAAAGGAAAAATGAAGGGGGGGAATCAGAGGGGGAGACGAACCATGAGAGACTGAACTCTGAGAAACAAACTGAGGGTTCTAGAGAGGAGGGGGTGGGGGGATGGGTTAGCCTGGTGATGCGTATTAAAGAGGGCACATACTGAATGGAGCACTGGGTATTATACATAATGAATCATGGAACACTACATCAAAAACTAATGATGTATGGTGATTAACATAATAAAAAAAGGATGACTTAAAATAATGGTTAATTTAGTGTCACCAAGTTTTCATGGGTAACTGTTAAGATAGCTTTCAAAGTCTTTGGTAACCTGGAACTTTAAAGTTTTGCTTGGATGATGAATTGGGATTGAATTCGTTGGATGTTTAGGTCTTTTCCAAATAGGATGAAGTTCTAAAGCACTTGATTACTGAAACAGGTTTGCACTTCTGACTTCTTACTGCAGAGTACCTAAGGATATTTGAGTCTTTTGATAAACATGCTTTGTGCTTAACTGATTCATAAATTTGCCATCCAAAGAATTCTGCTGTGACAGTTCACAACCAGTTACTACTTAGTTTTTATTGAAGACGCCTATGGGAAGACATTTGGCAATGGGCCCCAAATACTAAAATTACTGTTTTCCATGTAGATGCTCACAGTGTACTTACCTCCACAGAGCAGACCTTCAACAAAGTACCTAACTCACTAGTTCAATCACGGCAAACACAGGTAAGCCTGTGACTGACACCGGACTGGCGAAAAGCGGACACTTGGGAAAGTAGGCTACTCACAGGTGGGCCCAGAACTGTGGGATACCCATCACTCGGGATGGCATGAAAGAAAATGTATTAAAATGTCCAACTTGTCAGATTTGGCAAAAGCAAGAAATCCCACCACAGTACAAGGGGCAGAATCAGCAGCAAAGACCTCCTGCCCAAATTTGGCAAATACGTTATGTGGGGCCATTACCCTACTTCCAAGGCTGTCAGATTTGTGTGGCAGTGGACACTTTCTCTGGTTATTTAATAGTTGGCCCATTTGCCCACACCACCCAAAAGAAAACTATCAAAACCTTAGAGACTATTCTATGATGATGTACCTACTCAGACCCAGAATGATAAGAGCTCCCACTTGACAGGTAAGTTAGTAAAAGCTTTTGCCTCCTCCTATAATATTGAATGGATCTGTCATATTCCCTATTACCCCCAGGCGGCTAAATTGATGACACAGATAAACAGATTTTTTTTAAACAACAATTAAAAAAAGTATGGGATGGCTCTTTTATCAAAATGAAACTTATACTTAACAGAGGCTTTAAAAATCCTGACTGATAGACCTATTGGTCAAAATCAGATTCCATTAGGGCAGATGAAGATCCCTAATTCACAAATAAGGTGTATGACAAAACCCTTCTAGCCAATATTAATATGCTGGAATATTAATTCAGATGCTAACTTACCTTCCAAAGCCATCCGACAACATTCCCCCTTCTGCTGAAGTAACTGCTCAAGGAGGGGTTGCTACAATGATACTCATGTACTCCGATGATAAAACATTCTATCATGTTTGGGTTCTATGCTGTCCCATCGCCTGGACTCAAGCCAAGGCTATCTCCACCAAAGTAGGACAACCGCTGATCCTGCCCTGTTGGGCCCACCGCTCTCTACATATAGGACCTACGTGCTGGTGCCGTGATGGACACAGGATTTACTCCCAAAAACACGTTGGACATCTTCTTGACCTCACTGACCAAACTCGTCGAGAGCACTGTAATTTCACTCTGGGATTAACAGCTATCACCTTGTCCGATGACGGTGAACATACACACGTAAAATTGAGAAAGCAAATTCCCAATGATGTCAGTTTAAAACGAGAATCTATGCTTGTGACAGTGCTAATTTTCCATTACCAACCGTTAATTAATCCAATCAATACTTCCCCTAGTTTATTGGACTGGTTACCCCATTGAGGAGGGTTTCTACAGGATGCTGTACTCCTAACATTCACTGTACTATTTATATGTTGTTGGACTTGTGGATGTATCAAAAGTGCCTTGCAGGTACACACGGTACCGTATTATGCAGGACAACTCAAGGACCAAATGTACGGTATGGGTGGAGGTTTCTGTGATTTGTCCCGCAGAACCTTCCACCCCGACCTGCACGAACGCAGGCAGGCTAAACGACGATGTGCGTGAGACTCCTGCTGCATGAGTGACCTTGGGAGCCTGGTTAGTGGACATTAGCTGGCTTCCAGGTCAGAACGGGCCCTTCTGGTCTGGACGCCAAGAGCTGTAAGTCTCCAGGCTGGGCTGTACCCCCGGACTGGAATCTGGGAGGGAGGCAAACAAACACAGCCCAGACTCCTTGACGATGCAAAGACGTGATAACGCAGAAATGCAGCTCACTCCAAACTGCACGTAGGCAAACAAATGTTTAACTTCAGACCCCGTCCTGTGCCCTATAAATACAGCCCTTGTGGGGATGGTCAGTGGGAAGTTTCAGCTGAGGGGAGGACGGAGGACGCTCCGCCCAGGCCTCTCCACCAGGACTGCAGCCCGGCTGTTTCCACAGGGCTTCCCCAGCTGATGAGGTTGGATGTTCTAAGTACCCGAGTTGATGTAACTTTGTCTTGTTCTCCTTTACTGCTTACTCCTGCCCTCATCTATGTGCAGATCTCCCTTTTCTTCTTTCGGTTTCTATTAGATTTTTATAGTATCAATGGAGTGTTTTTTCCCCTTCGAAGCAGAGAGTTTGGCTGCCATGAATCTTTTGTTATAGAACACCTTGGTAGCATCTTTACTGGAGGACTGAGTGCTTTTGAAGATGTCATTATGTTTCGTGCAAATAAACCACGGTTATACAATTATCCTTTTATCAGAGTTGTTAAAGCTTAAATCCAGGCTAATTTCTTCCCCAAATTAAATTTTTGACCACATTCTGTGGCAATATGTGATTTTTATGCCTTGTTAACTTATCCGACTCCCAGGCCTCCAACACGGACAGGCAAGGTTTGTCCTCATGAAACTTACTATTGTGTTGTAGTTAGATGGGTCCTCCTTGAAGATATCTTGCATAGATATTGTTTCTTCCTTTTTATGGCTGTTTTCCAAGCCTGAAATAATTGAAGATAATAAGAAGTAAATCTAAGAAATATCTTGAGTAGAGTAGGGGAATTAAAGTGTTGAAAAACACACAAGATCCATGTGTGTTCCTAACACTAACCACTGCATGACCAAATAATGTGAAACTGAGGATTATACTGGTGAATAGACAAGCACTTTAGAATAATATCAATCAGAATAATATTAGAAAAAACCTCAAAAAAGAAAAATAAATAATGATGGGCTGTTGCAAAAAATATGAGAGTAGAAATCATTTAAAAAAGAGAGAGAGAAAGAGCAGAAATCATGACCAAGACCACAATGTGAAATTTTACATCCTATGAGGACAGGAACATTGCTTCTCTGAGGTCAAATATAAGTACAGATGTACGAAGAGAAACTGATGTGTGACAAGTTAATAACAAAGTCTAAGGAATGCAGGCTCACTGGCCACTTGGTCTTCTGAAGCTATCATTCACTCAAGGAAATGTGCGTGACATCAATAAAAGATCCTGCTCACTGACTCACTAGACTTCTCGCACTGAGCGCCTGTGTCCACAGCTCACCTGGACTCCAGCCTTGGGCAAGTCCTCTTTCTTCCTTCCACAGCACCCCTCCTTGTTCCCACTGGGAAATCACATCTGATTGGAAGAACTGACACCCTAGATCAATGGAAGAAGGGTACATGAATTTACAGTTCTGCGCTGAGAACAGTGCATGATATTCTACTGTGCAGGCTGCTGAGGAAGAACAGTGTGAGCACTGCACAACAGCCCCGAGAATAACGCCTTCAACACTGGAAACATCAATGAAGTTCTCAGCCTGACACTGCACCCGGGTCAGTCAACACCTGTTTGCTGCTGATGCTCCTGCCCAAGCTCAGCACGTGCAGAAGGCTCAGCATGTGCATCCAGAAGGAATGAAATCAGTGTTCTCACAGAGCGGTTAACATTATTTCCAAAGGAAGACAATAAACATACGCTCCATCAGAATATTCTGTGGAGTTTTATATGGAAAGTGATACAAGATGTTCGATTTTCTACTGTGCTCAAACTTCACCATAGTGCCCAGAGCAGAAAATAGTTAAGATCTTTATTTATCCATCCAAAAACTATTCATTGTATTTCCAGCATTGTTCTGGGTCTTGGAGAAAGTGCAACAGAACGACACACAATTGTAGTCAAGACGACCATAATTCAAATTATTATGTAACACACTTGATGACAGTAAAGAAATTTACAAATTTCATCTAGTCAGAAGAGAAGGGCTACAAAAGAATATGAGTTAGGGCAGAGAGCTGTTAGAATCTGTGGAAGCTGCTGCCTACACGGTTCATAAATAAAAAGATGAATGAATGAACGAATGACTGAATGAACGGACAGATGGTGGCTGACTCACCCACGGAGACCAGATGAGTGATGTTCTCCAGCATCACATCAATGTACATCTTCCTCTGGGACCTGTCCATCAGGGTCCACTCCTCCTGGGTTAAGTCTATGGCTACATCTTTGAAGGTCACAGATTCCTAGAATATCACAGAGAGTATGTTTCAATAGGCCCATGCTTAGTAATCCATAGGACAGAACTGTCAATAGGATACTGACGGCAACGGGGGAAACCATGTGGATAGGAGGTCAAACACCCTGTGTGGCTCAAATCACACGTTCTCCCGTGATCTGCCTATGCCTTTCAGACACATTCAAAAAGAAAGATGCACACAGTAGGCCCACAATTACTTCATTATCAAGGAATCTCAATGTGAAATCACCTGGCAATTTCCCAATAAACTGTTAATTTTGACTTCCTGGTTGGCAATTATAACCTAGATTAAATAGCACTGAGGGGCACCTGGCTGGCTCAGATGGAAGAGCATGTGACTCTGGATCCTGGGGTCATGCGTTCGAGCCCCAGGTTCATAGAGATTACTAGAAAAACGAACTTATACAGAGTGGTGCTGCGATTTCCACTGAGCTATTGTGCAAATGCTTCTTTCAGCGCCAACACTGACCACACACGTGATCGGTCCACTCATATGAACAGGCAGAGACTCATGAAGCAAGGCCCACCACTCATCGTACAAAACTCACTTGTTCTTTAGAAGAGATCAGGGCAGACAGTATCGTGAGGGGCTCCTGAGATTGCTCTTCTGAAGGATGGCCCCACAGTGATCCCTCTTGCAGCGAGCTCTCCATTCTCAACAGCAATTATCCTTGGATCGGTTCTCTGTATATTAATCCTGTTTTTCTGTTCAAAGGCAAGAGAATCCTCTCAATTAGTTCTGGCCTCTCTTGGTCCTTCAAAAACTGCTTCAGGATTTTAAATTTTACTCTAAAATGCACAGCTAATTTTTAAAAAATACTCCCCAGGCACTGTTTTCAGATTTCCAATTTTAACCAAGTTTAATCACAAAGAGGGAAAATGGGTGAAAGGGATAAAGGTAGTAAAGAGGATTTTAGTCATCTTTGGAAGCTCCCTAACTTCAAGTACATGTTAACAAAATTTTTAAGTTTAAAATTGAGAGGAAAACATGATTTCTTCTTTCTTCTCTTACACAGATGTTTCTTGTGTTCTCTGGAAAACTGCACAGCTCGAACACCTGTCCCCTCATGGGCCGAATGTCACCCCTCCCCACGTTACTAGGACTAATGAGCACACCATTTCCCAACTAAGACCATACTATGGAGGAGAAAGAAAACTCTGCCAATTTCTTTTCTGCAAGGACATCCTTCACGGAGAATGAGATATGTAAATGTTGGAAAGGAGATGATTTCCTGATCAATCCCTGACCAAGCACAAGCATCCCTAAGTCCTGGGAATAATTAAGTAGTGCCCAGCTCCCTGAACATTGGCTGGGTGCACTGAGGAGACTCAGGCCAAGAGAGGCCTTCCCATCCACTGGCAACAGAGCTTTTATCCAGAGCAAGAGCCCACCTCCACTCACCTGCAGCTGCATTCTCAAGAATTCAGCCACCCCCTCGCCTCCTCTGGATCTCCACTCACAGAGAGTACAAGCAATATGCAGGAAAAGCTGAGCAAGGAGAGAGAAGCCAAGAGACTCTAGTCTTATCCCCCATTCCTGGAGATCCTGATCGTGAATCCCTGCGACCCCTGCATGCAACCCCCCAGCTCCCTCTATAAGAACATGCCATGGGCCCTCAGAGAAGTGGGCAGCTCTCACATCTGCCTGGAGCAAAAGTGAGAAGGCTTTGGCTACCGTTGCTAGTAAATAAAATATGAAGATTCTTTTCTATTTCCAGATAAGGGAATGAAAATCACAGAGTTTATAAGGTAACCAGCAAGTTGGTTTTGTTTTTTTTTTAAAGATTCTACTTATTTAAGAGAGGGACAGAGAGACAGCAGGAGCAGGAGTGAGGGGCAGAGGAAGAGAGACTCTCAAGCAGACCCCATGCTGAGCATGGAGGCCGACGTGGGGCTCAATCCCAGGACTCTGAGATCACGACCCAACCCAAAACCAACTGTGCCACCCAGGAGCCCCTCAGACAAGGAAGTGAAAATCATTGAGTTTTAAGGTTTGTTTGTTTGTTTGTTTGTTTAAGATTTTATTTATTTATTTAATTGACAGAGAGAGAGAGAAAGAGACAGCGAGAGAGGGAACACAAGCAGGGGGAGTGGGACAGGGAGAAGCAGGCTTCCCATGAAGCAGGGAGCCTGATGCAGGGCTCGATCCCAGGACCCTGAGATCATGACCTGAGCCGAAGGCAGACACTTAACAACTGAGCCACCCAGGCGCCCTAGTTTGTACGTTAACCAGCAAGGTTTTCATAAGGTTATTTAATTCTTTCCCTAAACCCCAAACCTAAAAGTCCCCAACTTAGAAAATGTAGAATGCAAGCATCTTACAAGGAAATTTCTTCAATCTAACATTTTAGTAAATTTGTAACTGGAATACTGTCCTACATTAATCATCAGCACAAACAACACCCCAGCATTTCATAAATCTTACATTTAAAAATATTGGTAAACTTTATGGGGCGCCTGGGTAGCTGTCAGTTAGGTGTCTGCCTTCGGCTCAGGTCATGGTCCCAGGGTCCTGGGATCAAGCCCCGCATCGGGCTCCCTGCTCCGCGGGAAGTCTGCTTCTCCCTCGGCCCCTCCTCTCACTCGGCTCTCTCAATCGCTCTCTCTGTCAAATAAATAAATTTTAAAAAATAAATAAAGTATTAGCAAACTTTAAATTCTTACCAAAATTTTATTACTTAATTGTATTTCATGGAAAAATGATATATCACAAACAAAAGTAGATTTAACTCACCTCCTTATACCTAGAGTCCAGAAAATAAGGAAGACAAAATAAAAGTTTAATAAATATGACTCTTCTGCTTGGAACTTTAAATACATTCACTTAATTAATCCTTACAAAGACTTTGGTGTATTTACTGCTACGGACTGAATGCCCATGTCCCCTCTGCCCCCACACAACTCCACTAGTCAAAGCCCTACTTCGCAACATGGTGGTCTCTGGAGGTGGTTTAGATGAGGTCATGAGGTCATGAGAGTAGGACCCCATGAAGGAACCGGTGACATTATTAGAGGAACAGACCCACAGCGCTCTCTGCCATGCTGGGACTCAGTGAGTGCCAGGCTTCTGCAAGCCCAGAACTGGTCCGTCACCAGGTCCCGAATCTGCAGACACTTTGGTCTCGGGAGCTGCCAGGCTCCAGAACTGTGAAAAATAAATGTGTGTTGTCTAAGCCACCAAGTCCACTGTGTTACAGCCTCCCGGAATGACTACAGCATGTACTTCTTTAACAAATGACATGAACATAGTTCTGGAAAGCTTTAGTAATATGACAAAACTACACGGCTAAAGAATGATACAGATAGCACTTTAATTTTGGTCTATTTCCCAAACTCAGATTTCACGGTCCTCTTCAGGGGTACAAACCACCCCTAGGTCTTAGCAGGAATGCCCCTCAGCAATCCCCGCCGTGCCTCCTTCCAGCAGCTGCTCAGAATCACTCCTCCCACCTGGGGACCACCTTTAGTCTACCAGCCCACTTCAATCCCCATATCCTCCTTTCCACATGCATCCAGGACAAGAAAATGCAGTTTTGTTCCAACTGCGTATGCAAGACCTGTCCCAATGCCTGCTTACATGGCTTGTGCTCAAAACTATGGGAGATCAAAAATCCCCTTTTGTTAGATCTGCCTATCTCCCTGATACACCCATTTCTTCCACCCGTTTAATGACCAACACCCCGTAACAGACAACAGTCCTATTTCTCAAAATCCAAACATTCAAATAAGTAGTGTTTTTTTGTTTTTTTTTTTCCACACCAGCAGCTAATTCTCTGACAGCGACTGGGTGTGCCAGGGTTCGGCTCAGTCCTGGCAGTCTCTTCCCCGAGTCATCATCAGATCCCCACAAGCCTTCCTCTACTCCAGATGCCAGCAGCAGATGTAGTGCCAGGCTACTCACACTTCTGCTGGGCACACTGCAGGTCCAGGGGTTCCCACAACCCCTCAAAGGAGGTTTGGTAATTTTCTAGAATGACTCCTAGAATTTAGGAAAAACTTCACTTGAGCTTACTGGTCTGTTATAAAGGACAAAAACGAGCAGTCAGATGAAGAGGTACATGGGGTAAGGTCCAGGAAGGTTCCCAGTGCATCATCCCTGTCCCCGTGGAGGTGGGGTGCACTACCCTCCAGCAGGTAGAAGCTTTCACCAACCTGCAAAGTCTCCAAACTGAGCTCAACCTCCAGCAAGCTCTCCCCTCCCCAGAGGCTGTTGCGTGGGGCTGATATTATTTGCAAGCACAAATTTATTCATAACACTCTCCAGCTTTAATTTCTTCCATGCTTTCTCACTGGCCTTGAAGTAGGGCCTTTAGACCTGCCATGATCTTCAGGCCCTGAAACCCTCCTGCCTGCTGCCATAGCTCATCCACCCAGCTCCTCCCACTGCGGTCGGCTCCCTGCTTGTCTCAGCAATTTTACACAAGTTCTGTTACCATGAAAAAAATAAGTCTTTAAAATTATTCGTACTTCCATGAATATTCCTAAGACTTTGCTCAAATAAATTTTTTAAAGGTTTTATTTATTCATTTGAGAGAGAGACAGAGAGCACACAAGCAGGGGGAGAGGCAGAGGAAGAGAGAGAAGCAGGCTCCCCGCTGAGCAGAAAGCCCAACACCAGACTCAATCCCAGGACCCTGAGATCATGACCTGAGCTGAAGGCAGATGCTTAACCAGCTGAGCCACCCAGGCGCCCCTGCTCAAATAAATTTTTAATTAACTAAAATATCAGCATTTTACGTAAGAGTTATATCCTTTAGGATTACATACACACAGTTTTTTTCCTTAAATTTCTTTAAATTATCTCTCCTAAATTAGCCTTTAAACAACAGAGTCTGACAATTTATCCTTCTTATTCTCTAGGACAGCTCCTCCATCTGGCACAAGCCCTGTTCAGAGTTTCCTACCGCACACATCCGTCTGATGAAGAGAGATCCTCACTGCCGCAAGGACACTGCAGTGTGACTAGGCAAGACGACACAGAAGAGAACCCTGGAGACGGAGCACTTGATCACCTCAAATGCCTGCTATAAAAATAATACTCTCAACTTTTGAGAGTTAGTATAGATTCACTTTTATATTTGATATAAATACACTGAAAAGAAAACAAGACAAACCATTCTTTCTGGAATCAAATGCCTGTGCCTAAAATGAAAATACACTGCCTGATAATTTTCTTCAGAAGTCATTTATTCTTTTATATATTAAGATAGATCCTAAAACTTATGAACTTTTTTGTATTATTAAAAAATAGTTGAAACACATCCTATTTATGGGAAAACCAACATTAAAAGTATAATTTATTCTTGGAACCTATAATATTTTGAAGCATGTCGAGTATTACAGTCACTAGGATTTCAAGAAATCGGACTTGAAGAGATCTGTGTTGGATGGTCTTTCTCTCTTCCCAGGAGCTAATGGGAGAGAAGGGTCTGCACAAAGATTTCATTTGCCTGCCTCGAGATGACCAGGAGGGGTGCTGAGATGACCAGGAGGGGTGCTGAGAGCAATGTCCTGCGCCTAGAAGGATACACAACGTCTCCCCCTCCAGGTTTTAACTACAGGCACACCTCATTTTAGTGCACTTGCAGAGTTTTTTTTTTTTTTTTTTTAAGATTTTATTTATTCATTTGAGACACAAAGATAGAGAGACCATGAGCAGGGGGAGAGACAGAGGGAGAGGGAGAAGCAGGCTCCCCGCTGAGCCA